TGCGCATATCAGATGCGTTTGAAGCCCCATCAGGCTCTGAGTAGGTTTTGACTTTATTTCTTCTGTATTGGTTCATTCGACTGCGGTCACGGTCAACCATTAGGCGGCCGGAATGTGCAGTTTTCAGGGCTGACTTAATAATTTGTCGTTCCGTAGGGGAAGATAGTGTCGTTGCTTCTATAAATATAAAAATGCTGGCCACATGAAAGATGCATCTTCCTGTCCTTGCGCTCTTATTGCAGGGGGCAGTACGACTGTACCTGCAAATCGCATAATACAGGTCTCCCTGCTTTTGGTCTAACTGCTCCCCTTGGACCTTCCTGGCATTGTTGCACGTTGTGGATTCAAGCTCGAAAAAGTGGCTCATGAAATCATTGCGATGCTGCATTCCGGCCATCACTTCAAGGCAACCTTTAAGTGCGGTTGGTCTCTGTGTAGACTGTTGGGCAGGGGGGAGGGGTTACGTGAATTTTGGTTGAATTGGAATTTTTACCGCTTCCTTTAATCACTCCGCATACAGCAGCGTGTCACTTCGGCTTATATAGAGTCGCCCTCCACATGTTCGCTAACTTAACGCCCGCTGGAGCTGCACTGGAATGCCTGATAACCTCCACCATCCTGACCATTACTCGCTGTTGTTTGCGTCGTAATGCTTGTTTTAGGACATCCACACTTTCTTGATGTGTTCCACGTCCTGTATCTAGAGCACCTGCCATCGCCAGCTCTTCGAATAGTGGCTGATGTCTGTCTACATCTCTTGGAGCTCCAGTCGTTTGGACATGCTCTCTCAGACAAGGATAGTTCAGCTGTTTTATGACCATCCAAGAGTTTCATTCCAAGTCAGCTTACGACCTAAGTTGAATTCTAGTGGAATTGATAAGTAACTTCTACCAATACTTGTCTACACTACTGGAACGACCGTGTGGTCTGAACACAGACAACTGAGTGCCATGTGATCTTTGCGCCTTCCTGGCTGGAACTCACGTGGTGGTGCCTGCACGTGGCTGGAAATCGTGTAGTAAATGGCGCGCAACTGATCCCAGTGACGCGCACACTCTCATTTTCTAACCGAACTACCTAGTAAAAGTTCACCTGTCGTGCACTGAATTTACGTCGGTTGATGTTCGCGAAGGACGCTGAGCAGTCCCGCTAGTCGTACTTTTACAGGATGCTCAGATGTGTTTATTTAATACAGTCCCGAGGTATAGCATCGTTTTCGTTGAGGCATAGGGCTTCTTCGCAGTAAGTTCCTTCCCTTCCGTCTTCTTTCCACTATTCACAAGAAGGTCAAGCACTATTAATGTTGAAGATGAGTCACAAAGTCTGATTGTTGTTTATAAAAGCCAGTCAATTATGAGCTGTTTTATTGACCGGGGGAAGAATTACCTAGACGCCTTGGACGGCTCCATGAGAGCCTTTCGTTTTTCCCATGATACTGTCACGCGCTGGTAGACTTGTGAAGCAGTTCCTATTTTAGGCTAATTCTTGCTAGGCGAGAATCGGCAGATTACGCTCTATAAGACTCGAAAAATTTCCGTCTCGGTATTCATTGGAGTTCTTCAGGCATACGGGTCAATAGTTCATAGAGAGTTTAGATTCTCAATCGCCTTGTATGAGTACCACCGTATCAGAATCCAGTCACCGAAGATAGCCTATAGAGTCCAGCGACCGATGACACCAAAGCTCAGTAATTGATTTTATCACAAATCGGTACATGTTGTTTGGGTCAGTTGGTTTTGCCGGATTCAACTGCTTTTACTCCTCGTACTTTTTCCCGACAATCAATACTTAATCCTTTGTCGCTCGGTTAGGTCAAATAAACGGAAAATCTAGGAAAAAGAATAACAAATGTCAGTTTGTGGGGTATTATAACTGCGAAGTTCCCGAATTCGAGCTATATATGTCTACAAAATGGCAGAATAGCTTTTGTAAAACTCGATTGGTTTTTGATGGGAGATTCACCTGAATCTTCCGTTTATGATATTTCTCAGCTCGGCATGCTTTAAAAGGACCACCTGATTTTTTAGTGACAGTAGCATTTAGAACCTCATGAGAAACAGCTTCAACAACTCGAATATCGCTCCATATAAAACACGAGGTGGTCTTGGTACCGCTGATTCAGTTGTAGAAGGTCACAAAAATTATGGAGGAATATAAGCTGATTTCCAGAGTTTCGATTGCAAAGTACACATATTTCGTTGTTCATGTACGAAACAAGACTGATAGAAATTCCGGGAATTCGGGTTATCTTGTAGGCGAAGGCTAATAAATGTGACAGTAAGCTGTCCAGGGATCTCATCATCACTATTAGGACTGTGTAGAACATACAGGGTGTTTCAGAAACACATGCGAACTGAATAGCCATATAATATATATATATATATATATATCATCATAAAGGTTCCTCTGGTACGTGGTAATAATCCTTTAATTCCTCATGATCGGTTTTCCTAACCTTACCTCCTTAGTATGGTATGGGGCGAACGTATTCGTGGAGTTTTTTTTAGGATTTCTGGCCGCCCTTTTGGCTCGAATCAACTTACCGTGTGTTATCAGTATTTGTGTTTGGCTGTTTACAACCGCGGAACCCTTATTTTTTGTTACAGGTCAGTTCTTACGTCTCTTCTCGCATAAAGGTCTCGAGTTTTTGACAGTGTTTCTCTATCGAAATACGCTCTGTCTCTAAATTTATTGATATTGTTCTCACGTTTGGCTGGTGTCTATCCGAATTTGCCCCTTTCCATGTTAATTTGTTTGTCTACCATGTTACTAATTGTAGCATCGTACTATATGAGTAGGAGGCGATGCAGACTCTGCAGCAAATTACAAGACATCAAAATTAGGTAATAACTGTCAGAATCTGATCCGAAGCCTACTCACCAATAATCTCAGTATTTCCAGTGTATAGTTGAATTCAAACGCAAATTATTCATTTGTTTTTAGTCAGCGTTTGAAACAGACGATCGAAGCATTTTAACAAAACAACGCCTGGCTGACAAGCTACTAACAAACCGGTCAAGTACCCAAACAATTACACTTGGGCAATTTAGAACAACTAATGCAAGATTTGGGACAGCATCCAGTAAGAGTGTTTGTAGACGTAGTGGTTTTGTTAAAAAAATTAAAGTTTACGGTAGCGAACCGATGCTTTTTCGTGGTCAATTTACGACGGCCACAACACGTACCGTCTAGGTCTGGGTTTGTTCTCCTTAATAGCCCTACCTGACTGAAACGCTGTGATCGAATTTCTCGATCAGTCCCTCAAAGATCGTCTCGGTAGAGCCATTCTAAGAGGGTACGCCCGAGGGGGATCTTTGCTTTTTTCCCTCTGGTTGTGCTTCGGGATGTTTTGCTAGAGCATTATGGTGTTCCAAGTCTCTGGATATTATTGCAGAGGTCTTTATGGTCTCTGACACTGGGTAGTTCATAGAAGAATAGGCTAGGCAGACTCCAATGTATAGTATCTGCGCGGTCATCTACGCCTCTGGTTTGCCTTTGTTCCTAGATTCCATTCCTCTCTCGCTGAATTTGTTCTCTCCGTCCCTTCGGTGACGTTACTCTTCCTGCATAAGCTCTTCCTATTTTGTCCCGATTACTGTCGATGATGTTTTCCTCCCCATATTTCTTCCTTATTATGATTTGGTCCGTTTACCCCTGTGGAGAGGAGGATCTTTGGCTGCGTCCATTCCTTCCGCTTGCTTACCTGATCATGATAACATGGTTCGTTCGTTATGCCTACATCCCCGTACTAGACAATATCGTCTGACTAATCAGGTTAAGGGATAAGAGATTGCCTGTGCGCTGCTGGGTGTTTTTGTAGTTAACCCTGCGCGTCTCGCCTCGGCAACCCGAACACACACGGATTAATTTTGCTTGGTCGATATCCAGCTGAAATCGGGTGCACTGAGTTCACTATACTGCATATCCTACCAAACTAGACAAATATTACATCCATTTCGATTTTTCACATGAAGCTGAGGGCGGCCGAAGGGCTGATGTAGAACTTCTATTCGACCATGTGAGATACTACTTGGCGCCATCATTCGAACGTACTGTGTGCAATGCGACGTTGAAATATGCGGCGTGCTCGTCCACAAGTCCGGTATGGAGGGCTGTGGGTACTAAAAAGTCATTAATAAAACGAAGTGGATTTAACTGACCTAAGTGTCACCATTGCAGCGACGTTCAGTGCGTGTAAGTGTTCGCACTTAATTCGTCTGGGCGAGTAAAATCTATGTGGAGCGGTCAAGGCGGAATTCACGAAATTTCGAAATGATCTGTTAGTGCTACAATCAATTCGGAGTATGTGTATGGGTGTTTTATACTTAATATTAGTCAAGATAACTAAATCCTGTAGTGGAATATCTCACGAGAGGGATCACCATTGCGGTAAATTTTGTGGACGAGTCGTTATACATATGGCGTGGCTATGCGTGAGACAGTTCATCAGCCGGATTTTCTGGCTTGATTCGTGCGGATATCCCTGCTGAATTCGTTCCGGGGAACCAAGCCGACCGAACGACCTGACGAAAGAGTGAAGAATACACTGAACAACTCGGGTTACACGGCGAGTGTTTCTGATTACTGAAACCCCCATAGGTCTCGTTGGTGTTCTTCCTCAAAGTTACTTAGTGTAATGAACATTCCTTCGATTTCTAACCGTCCATCAGTTGGTGGATCGTCGATGGGCAAACCTATAAGAAATGTACGGTGTAGGGCTGATGATGCTGACTAGCCTCATAGGAAAGATGAGTGTCAGTTAGTAATATTTATTACCGTATGGATAACGTTTTTTGGTAAGGCTCCGTGGATCTTCCAAGTTCGGGTGCTTTTTTCTTGGTATCACTTCTTCCATTTTCCCTCCTGGTCACCAGTGTTTCAGTTATTTCGTTTTTGCCATGATTGCTGCTTTAAAAAAGACCGTCCGTCTCATATTTCTAACAATTTGGCATCAAAACTCTACTCTGGAATCTGTCTTGTCTCTTTTTCGCCCCCTAAAGTCACTGGCGCGGCATCGAAAACCGACTATACACTTACGACAAGAACATAGAAGAGCTTGAAAAAACAGCTAGTGATGCCAACTTTGCCGCAGAAGAGGCCGATCGAAAGTATAAGGAAGTGAGTCATTACTGATGTGTCGCGTACCGCAGTTTTCCGACTCCTGCTTCTGCTGCACCGCGAACAGCTTGCAACGAAAAAACTCCGCATATATGGTGTTTGACACCAAACGACAAAAGCGCAAAAAGGCCTACAGATGACGGATAAGTTGAACAAAACGTGGTCCAAAGTAACTGAATCAGTACGTTTTCGCGAATACGCTATTGAGTGTGGTTTCGAGCTACCCGCGAGCAGCAACCGATCATCATCCTTTACCTCAGCTGAGGAGCCAAGTCTTACCGAGCGGTGTGCTTTCACGTTCCACTCTCAAGTCGTTCGTTGATTGTGTGCTTCATTGTCTTTCCGAGAAGACATACCATGGAGGTCGGTACACAATGCTCAGTCAGGTAGACTGATAACCAACCCACCGAAGCTCATCGTACGTTGGCCAGACCACTTCAAACAACAGCTCAACTGGCTCTACCTCACCGCATATAAGCCTCAGTTTCCCAGGGGCCGCGACATAGGTAGCGATGTGCTAACAGAATTAGCTGACCGCAAAAGGCACAAGGTAGCAGGTCCGAACGAACCATTATCCGCATTATTTAAAGATGGCGGCCCCGGCACTAACTACGCACCACACCGCTTGGCTTAAAGCCATTTAGACCCCTGAAGGAAAACCTGTTGAATGGATCGCTGACACCATCACCAATAGTCACGAAAAGGATCATCGTTAAGGTTGATGTAACTACGATGATGTGAGCCTAGTAAATGTTTCTAGATTTCCGGCAACAGACATCCTAAGAGGACGATGCTCCTAGTGCGAACACACTATCCTTGAGGAACAAGCTGGTTCTCGATCGGGTCTGGGATGTATGAATGCCATATTACGTTGCGTAATGTGACGGGAATTCCCTTGGTCTTCCCGAATATCACAATTGCTTTAGAATCCTTTGACAGCACTATCCTTCGAGACTGTTTGCTTGCTATCATGAAAACGTGCTCGTCCACTTTGTGACACACGTGCAGGCCTACAGAGTGGTTTTGTCTTTCTGTGTATTAGGGTTCTGTATCGGGCTTCTTGATGTACCTGTTTCCGTTTAACCTCGTTATGGACGATGTTTCAACATATCATGACACTGAACTTCCAAGAGCTTCACTCCGAGGTCCATAATTTTCTGTCCAGTTCACACATCCGTCCTCACACCCGAAGTAATGGAGTGGTTAACTTAGTTCAGCAGTTGCTTCAGCAACAAAGATATTCCTAGTAAAAACAAGCACGCGCATTGGTAAACCTAGAGTCGTACGTGTAAGTCTTCGTTATCTCTGGCGATATGATGTCAGTTCAACATCTAGTGACCAAATGAACACTATTCACAGGCACAGCAGTCGACTGGAAACGCCGAGCAGAAGATTGATGAATGACTTTTTGCAACTTGTATGGGCTTAAATTCTGCCGGATCTTCTCGAATGTTCGATTAATGGCCCGGAGAAGACGGCTGCTTTGGCTTAGGAAAATGATACGGATTGGATATCATTGTTAAGTTTCATCAACAGGAACCGAACTTTCTTCTTGTGTTCTTATGCTGTTCTGTATCTTATGGTACACAGGCCTACTGCCTTGTACTAGGCTGCCCTGTAAATATGTTTTCTAGACATATACTCGGTGAAAATAAATGAATGCCCAATACTGCCCCGGCTGCAGTCGAAGGTTTGCGCAAAAGGCTTTACCCGGACGCTGTGGCCGCGAATTTAAGTTACTAGACAACGGGGCGAAGCACAGTGCCCGGAATTCACTGACAGCCGTTAACCGCAATGATATTTCAGGCGCTTGAGATGGCACGAAACCATTAAAGGTTTTCATTGTATATCATGAACACACCAGCCGGTGAACGCCACGCAGGTCAATCAAGAATGGCTTCAAGTAAGAAGTCCCATGCTCCATCTCTTATTGTGAAACCGGTGACAGGCAGTTGGAGGGATTCTTCGATGACTTTTGTTTGTGGTGAATTTAACAAGAGCTGTTCACATACCTCCGTCCGTAGTCTAATTTTACTAGAAGTGTCAGTGACTCTTAGGTCAGCCACCTGACTTGACACGATGCTGTGAGTTGGCACTTTCAGCTTTTTTCGGGAGGCCAATACTCTTGTGCTGTAGTATTCTGCTGTTGGTACACAACTGTCTACTCGCCGCCAGACTTTTGTATAAACGAGAGGCCAGTGGCGTGTAGCTTTCTTCCATCGCGCGGACTCCGGAACTCGTTCATCAAGTACATGCTACACTACACTAGCCTAGTACATACAGATGGATGTCCTACCAAATACACACTCCTAATCGCACCGATTAAGCAACCTTCTTGTCGGGCCCAGTTTATCTCAACACACCACCAACGTAGCCAAACAGGTACGACCCGCTACTTTTTCCCGATTAGTCATTCCGTGTGCAATCACAGAGGTCATCTTCATCGAGTTTCTAGTGTAGTAGCCAGATTTTCTTGTTAAAGCATGGTACTCAGAGGAAGTTATCCGCAAGACGACATAATTAGATTGTGGAGTGCATGTCGTAAACGTTACTGCTGAATCTGGACGCCATGGACACCTGGCTTGAACACCGGTTTGGTTGGACTGCGGAAGAGCATACGGTCTCCAGAAGTATCACTCGCACTACAGGAGCCCGTTAGAATATAAAATACCAGAGTATCATCATACACAACGCACCGTTTTCATCCTACAGGCGATCAGTTTCCTTGTGCCTCGTTGACAGCAATGTTCCAAGAGTCAAACGAATATCCCTATAACTTATGAAATCAGGAAGTGTAGAGTGTGGGTATCCGATCCGAAAACTCCTATTTTAAGGGAAGCAGTCAAGACTAAACTACAGATACCTTATGAGCTTTCTAAAGAAAACCGTGTTGCTGTAAGGCAAATCCAGTGGCTCGATGTGATGTAATCATATGATACAAAGTAAAAGTATCCCGCTTTCAGGGACGTCTCCAGAGACACCGCTTTTGTCAAGTGGTAATGCGTGATTAATGTTTTGTTTTTGTACAGTTTTTCTCACTCTAGTCACACTACACCTTGATCGTTTCTCTTCAACGCAACACCCTAGGTCGAACGTACTCTCACTGTTACGGAGGAGAACCTACATGTGGCGGAATCCAGGGTTGCAGCGACAGAAAAGTAGGTCCCGAATGAGGATACTGTTTTTGTTTGCCTTCCGGGCTCTGCGTTTTGTCCAAATGGTCTCGTTCCGTGTCACAACAAAATCAAAAAGGCGAGGCACTCTTACTCTCTCACCATCGACCTGATGCAGATGTCAAACAATCGTCCTTTCTTTTACCCTTGCCTGTTGCTTCATAGCCCTCCTACAGGTCCCATGGTAGCAAATGAGCATCTCAATCGTTAATACACAACGACCAGTGACACCAAATAAAGGGAGCATACAGTCGATTCGGAACAGGTGGAACACAGTGTAGTTTCCTTTATCTTCAAATGTATTCCGCAAGTATGATGAACTCACACACAAAGCAAGTGGAGCAATACAACCTACGATAGCAGCAACTTTAAGATTGACATTCTGGAACTTCACTGTAATATTGGTCTGACGCAGTGGTCGATGAGTCTCGGGTGCACCGGCTGATTAACAGTGGTATGCTTGCTCAGGGTGATGATCCGTTCACACCGAACCCACTCACTTGTATCAAACGATAAGTGTATTTCAAATAACCGGTTATTTGAAACCTGGTCCCCCAAGGCTTCTTTTGCATTCTAGAGCCCTTCCAAGAGTAATCATAATTGCCTCTCCTGGTGTAGACGACTGCATAGTAGATTTAACTGCAATAACCCCATCACAACCCGACTCCTGCTTGGGAGACGGAGACCGTTTGATTTGCGACAGATTTTACTCTATAGAGGTACCTAGTGACGGCACTAAAAAGTTAAGTCTGCTTCTTGGGTGAATACCAGTCAACCAAGAACGGGCTCGAGTTGTCATAACGTAATGCGCCTGCACGCGTCTTAGGCCTTCGTGTTAGGGTGAAGGCATGAGAATCACCAAAAACTTCAACATGGAGACCCCCTTTTGAGTAGACCGTTCATTGGTGACATTTCTGAGGATATATTCTTTAAAATGAATTTCAAAGGCCCGTTTCTGAAGCACGTTTCTATTGCACACAAAGTGAATTTCGGTCTTAGAGATACAGTTGCAAACGCCCCCTTCCCTCCCGATCCTTCTTTCCTTCCTAACGTAGCCGAATCAAGGAAATGGAAGCAACTTTGAAGCAGCTCACTGGATCACTGAAGGCATTGGAAATCAAGCAAGAAGAGGTGCGTATCTGTTCTTGTTTTCCTTCTTCTTTTGATAAACTCCATCTCAGTTATCATCCGCTGGCTTTTCAGTCTACCAAACCATCGTTCTCGTGTCCCAGCCGAACTTTGCACACAAAGGCTAGTGGAGGATGTGCAGGCAACTTGATGCAATTTTCTCTCCGTGCTTTGGACACCATCTAAGGTCGTCCAGACTGGCTCTGTAAAAGAGCAATCTCCCTTTGGTTGTTCCCTTCTCCGTTCCACTAATTACACACGATTGGTTCCAAGTGGGACAATAATATGCACTTTTTTTTATCTGCCTAGAACGATTCCTCAATGCATATCTGTAGACGGATCTTAGTTGATTGGTTATGGTGTATTTATTGTGCACTTATGGGTGGTGTGTAACGTTTAGACAATGTATTGCGGTATCCCAAATATCGCACCAACTGCAACATTAAGCGGTCTGGTGAGGGTCAGTTGAACCGTACCACCATAAACGAGAGATTCAGATGGATTCGGTTGATCTCCTACCATGGATTCGGTTGAGTCTCCTGCCAAACCCAAGTTCATGTCCAAGTGGAAGCGTTTGTCGAAATCTGTTCAATTTGTGTTCATGCAAAACACATGGTTGAAGGAAATTCGGGGACTGCGATTGCCTAATGAATCCCAAGAAGAGGGAAATAGGTCGTGGGCTGTCCTATAGTCTCCAGCAACCTTATGTGTAGCGTACCATGGTCATCTTTTGTATTTTGGTTAGATAGGCGTTATACCTTAGCTCAATTATCGGTATGACGACCCTGAGCTCGTTTCCAGTAAAAGAACAACTATAGGCGCATGGACTGTATTCACACCCAAAGCCAGTTGGGAGTTTTGTACATGCAAGCCATGGTTAACAGTTCGACAATCCAGATGGCATCAGCAGCTATCACGAAACGGACACAGCGATATAGCCGGCTGTTGAGTCAACTGAATTGATCAATCAGAGCTCCCGTTTATGCCCGATGGATCTCACCAGCCGGTGGTTCAACCTGCCAAGTGCGAGTTTAGTTTATTTTCGTCGCATCCACTTGTGTGTGGTTAGCCGGTTCGAGTGCAGAACTCCCTCTGATAGTTGGTCTTAGCAACTTCTATGCAAGAGCGATAAAAGTCCGTTCTCCTGCTTTCTGCAGCTTCTCTTGAAAGAACTGGCAAGACCTCTTCACTTCAGTGGGGTGGCCCTTGGGGGATCACAGTTTCTTTTTACCGTTAGCTCTTGTTGAAGGAGGGAGCACTAATTGGCTGCTGTCTATCAAATGTGGGGCCAATTTCCTGTGAAATTATCACTCATGGTTTGTTGTAGTCAGGAGGGCACTCATTCTGGTAGTAACACTACGGGAACTCGATAGGGCCATTCAACTGTGGTCACAATAACCGGGTATTGTTTCATCCAGCGCTTCCTGATGCTTTTCATCCTCACAATTACCGAAAGGTCACACTGTCCTTGCATTCTCTCTAGTAAAAGTCTGCTCGGTGAATTGAAGATCCTTCCGGCATGCTGCACCTGGCTTCAATAATGGTGTCAAAACCCATCGCAACACTTTCCAGATAGACGTTTCCCCGAAATATTTCATCTGGCCACCCACTTATACGTCTTTCTGTTTTCCTTTGACAGTCCAGTGAACGTGAAAAAGCCTTGGAAGATCGGCTGACGATGCTAAAGAAGCATGTAGAAGAAGTGAGTGGGAGGGACGGGGCGGTAGTTCAAACTGTTTCATCATCGTAAACTCTCAACATTTGCCCTCAATCCGTAAGATCACACCAGTCCACAACAGTTCAGTCCGTCTTTACACCCACCCGCTTCGGTATGTCTTGTGACTTTTACTAAAAATCATAGATACTGGTTCGAATCCAATTCTTGGGCTTAGGGCTTTCTAGAAAATGAATTTTATTATCGCATATCAAACAAGTTTTGTTCATTTGCTTGACTCGCTCACGGTTTTCGCTCCAGATTTAGAGGGAGTTAATTTGTTCGTAGTGGATATTGCCCCTCCGCCTTGTTGCGTTGCTGGTACCAGGAGTTCCCATAGGCTCAAACGGGGTGTTTAAAATGAGCTGCACCACGTGCTTGACTTACGAATTACTGCTAGAGTAGAAGGACCTGGAGGACCTGGATCTACCAAAACGCGGTAAATTTGGAAAATTCAGGAACACTCCGTTTATGCATTGGTTCAAAATTTTCGGATGCTGCTTTGCAAAAAGAACACTACCGCATTCCCATGCCAGATGATTGTCCGGGGTCAGGTTCTTTAAGAAGGTTTATTGTTCTATGGCATTTTCATTTCTTATGTTGAGCATGACGTTGGACGCACTGTGTGTTCAGTTTCTTTGACTGCATTTAGTGTATGGCCTCGGAAATTTTTTAACAAAAACCTTGTTCAGGCATCTTCAGGTTCGCGATGCAGAACTCTGAGTCACGCGTAGTTTTAACGGTCGCGAATGTCAAAAGGAATATTTGGTTCCGGAACTTTATGGTAGTATTTACGGTGGTATTTATTTAAGCAAATTTACAAAACAAACCTCAACTGTCGCGTTCGTGATGTCAACGGGTCACTGACTGGCACAATACAGTGTACCAAGGTCCGCAAACCAAGCAGCGCCTAGCGAAATGTTGGCTCGATAGTGTCGATTGCATTCATCCCTTTCGAAACCAGTCTCATAATTCTGATTGGCCGTGCGATCACACGGAAATCACCATATCACAGAGCAGGCCCAGCAGACGAGGCGCGAGCACTCATCGGTAAGTAGGTTGGTGACACACACGCCAATGTCGGACGGGGTGGCTCTTGCGGCAACATGAATGGAGGAGCAAAACATTTGACGATACGGGAGGAGTTAGCAGATGAATGTGGGAATTCCCATGATATCAAGTTGGATTCAATGGGGCCCTAAACATAATTCCAGCAACATTGCGCGCTAGGTTCCTACGGGGGGATAAATGGGTGCTAGAGCTTAGCGAATATACACTCTCTGCGAGCTAACATAATTCCAGCAACATTGCGCGCTAGGTTCCTACGGGGGGATAAATGGGTGCTAGAGCTTAGCGAATATACACTCATCTGCGAACTAATTTGGTTCTATCGAGAGGCTCACCTGGAACCCAGCTAAATCTCTCGTTTATGATGTTCTCAGGGTGCTATAGCTGTTCATTCTCGCTTATCTGCAGTGTTGTACACCAGACAGATTGGAAGCCAAGCTGAATGACATTCTAATTCACAACAATCCATAAGCACTAGTAATTGGATGTTCCTGGCTTCCCTCACAGCTTAGAGGCGCCTCACGCGTTGCCCAGTAGTTTCTTTTCTTAACCGGCAGAATCGTGATAAACATAACCTTTGGTTCTGGGGTCGGTCTCCTACGCAAACCAAAAAGCGTTCTCTGACACAATCGATGCATATCTTCTCTCTTTCTTGTCTTAGCTGTTCAGCAAGATTTCGAAATGAAGTATTTGAACACGCGTATCCTTTCGATAACGGAGTTTCCTAGAGTGGACGGTGGTTGGAAGTTTGTCGAACTTTCGTCTTCGTAACCAATTTCGGCATCGAACTGCTTGATCTCATCAACACACGTCTGGAAGCCTCCATGTTGCTAGGATTACTTGCTTCCCAGTAGTCTCGAGTGCTTTCCTTTTGAAGGTCATGCCTTTCCGGGAACAACAAATCTATTCTATTATATTTTTTATTTCTGGTTGTATTCCCCTCTCTTGTTGCTATTCTCCAGTCAACCTAGTGTTTCTTTTCCCTATCTAGGCTGAATCCCGAGCGAGCGCAGCTGAAGCTGAAGTGAACCGTCGTGGTCAGGAAATCAAAAGGACAAGAGGTAAATGCCAGTTGATATTTCCCACATGATTACTAAAGCAACAAAGCATTGTTGCGTCGGCTGCTATGTTCGTGAACAGTGAACAGTAGGTAGGATATGGGCAGTTTAAGGTCACAACAGCCTAGCGGAATAAGGTGTTTTAATCCGACCTGTCGGCTCCTGTGGTTGATTATTTTTGCAATCAATTCGAACAGATTACGGGAGCCCGGTTTTCAAAAAATTCCCAGGGTTTAGGATGATTGAGACTCAAATTCGACAAGACATAGCGGTGTTTGAAATCTAAAAATGGAGAAAAAATCGACGTGAATGTGCGTTGATGTGCGCTTTACTGATTTCACACCCGCACGTTGTCCGCCTTCCTAACCTAAATCAGATCGTTCAGTCGAGGTGTCCTTTTGGGACATAACAGCGATACATCCCGGAGCGCGCGCGGGGGACAGTGTCGTGGTGGGTTGCTGAAGCTCAAACAGGAGTGTCAAAGTTCGAGTGGATTGTTTTTATCACTTAACCTCTGGACTATCTTGAATGCTTTCTTAGCTGGTCAGTTAGTCACACCATATCTACGTTGTACGTCTACTCTAGGAGTGTTCTAAATCGTTCCATTGGTCTGACTGTTGTGTTTGTGATTGGTTGTGTGACGGTTGAATTTACGTTCGCACTTGAGCAACGAGAAGGATGATTTATCTCCGAACAGAACAGCACTTCGTTTTTGAGTCGATATTATTGAACATGGAGCATCGTTACTGAGCGCTCCTGTTGGAAAACAGTTCAAGTTAGAGGCCATCATCCACTACCAACTGACCACCTGGTAACTACTGGAAAACAAGTCCTGAGCCGCATAGTTCTTTCTGGCCGTTTTAGACTTATCTTCATCCGTGAAGTTTGGGGATAACGCGTAGTGATGCGGGGCTGATCCGCTTTTCCCCAAAACCTCTTCTGTGAATAGTTTGTTGTGTATGTTGTTGAACACCCGATTGACTCAACTCCAAGACGACAGCATCAAAAGTAATCCGACCACTGGTTTGCCGACTGAATCCCTGTTCCGCTTAAATGACGCGGTAGTAATCATCCTCTAGAGACTGTCTGTATGTTAGGAAGTTTAGGTATTCCACTTGGAACTTGGGCAAATTGACGGATGAGGCCGCTGCCTTGTTGCTCATTGTTATGCCATCATGCCTAGGCCGGCTGATAGCTCTCAACGGGTCTTGCCCGCGGATCGTATTTCCTCGGGTTTACATAAGTAGCAATCGTTCGCACGTAGTATCACACCAGGCTCCCCACAACCCGTACGAATTTGTTTCCACTCCCAGTGGTCCAGTGGACCGGTAGATCCGTTTCGGATATCAGTCAACGTTACCGTGAGACAGTGGCTCCTCAGGGCAGGAATTTACGCAACTATCTGTGAATGGAAAAGGAATTACTTGTACAGATATTATCGAACACTACAATAGGCATTCATCGCAGGATACAAGATGAATGGTGATTTTTCGTACGGCGGTTGATGTAATGCAGATAGACTGTTATTTACAAGCGTGCACTATGTATCTGTATAACCATAGATATTTTTCAATGAGGATGTTATCGACGGTTGACCCATATGTTATGACAGATGATTTTGTGTCTTGTTGTTCACATCAACTCCACTGTGGCATGCATGTTACCGGATCAGTTGACTGAGCGCGATGAGGTGCAACTAAATGACCTGCTTGTTTGCTAACTTGTCCTCGGAGAATAAGAGTGTAGCACAGTGGCTGGGGGGTTTGTATACAGTTTTGTACCCCGAAAACCTGTCAGTTTGCATGGGATTTAGTCACAGCGTTCGGTTCAACAGTGGAAAGTGAGTGGGGGTGAAAAATCGCGGTAAAGTTCTAGGAAAACCCATAACTGCAATATTCATGAAGGGAATAGTACGGTTTCCCGACCCCTGAGTGATGGGTGCCAGCAAAAACAAACTCCGGAATGCGACGAAAATGTCCCGTCAATGAACCGATATGAAGTCGACAAAATTAGCAGTTTCAGTTATTTCTATTAAATACTTTGCAGTGCTTTATTCGAGTATCTAATTAACCCTTTGACTGATGTTATTTCATCATGCTCCTGCGGTGTCAGCTACTCCCTCATAGATTCATAGACTCCTACAACTTTGCACATCCCTTGTGATTTAGCCGCCCACTCACTCTCAATTAATTAGAGTTGGTTGGCCGCCTGGTCGCTTCTTATGATGGACAGAATTGAGGAGTGTGAAGCGCAAGTTGCCTCACCCACTCACGAAAATGAATGGCAGTCATGAGTGTTCTGTTATCGGAATTTGCACATCAGATTCCGAAACACCATTCACTACTCTAGTTGGTTCGTCGTGCAAACCAACACCACTTCAGATCTATCCCGAGACCAAATCGGGTTAACGAGAACCGCTTTTGGTATCAGCAGGGCCACCCGGCGCATACGGGCAACAATAAAAGCTGCAGCAGTTGTGGAGCCGTTAAAAAATGAAGTGGTTTTCTGGGCTCAAATGGTTTCTGGTTTGACATCATTCATCATGAACTGATTCCTCAGACACCTGGGGCCAGCCATGATGCGATACCATCACTTATGGTGGATGGAGACTCAGGCGCATGCAATCATAAAGATGAAAACTTTTCCACTCGAGCACTGCTTTTATGGGCTATCTGTTCTGCTTGTGAAACGATCAACCTAACAACTAGTACTCAAGACACAGATCCATTCTGATTCCGGAGGATTGGTTCCCAAAGTGGTCTGGTGGATGGGATATTTCAAGAAACCAGGGTAGCAGTTCGCATTTCATCAAGGACGAATTTCCGTTCGATCAGATGAAACAGTTGGGCTGTTCAACTCAAGTTCTTGGTCTCAGCTCAGCTGAAAGCGCGTGGATCGCAGAAGCACAGGGTGTATAAATTCGCAAATCTGTGAATTCAAAAACTAGTAAGACGGGAGTGGAGTATCGTTGGTCAGAACATCATTACGCACTCACAAACAACGCAGGGTGCTCTATGAGGGTTTTTTGAGACTGGCTAGGATCAGTCATTGGAAACTCCTCTAATGGATCGGTATTCCAGGGTTTCCCCTTCTTTTATCGCCCTTTGTTCCCCACTTTTTTTAGATCCTGTCAGTTTATTTCCAAACACCTCCCTCAAGTTGCAGTTTTCGTTTTCAAGGGTAATCATCACCTGTTTACTCAAAATCGCACCATTATTGGGGTGAAAAATGTGAATGGCGATATAGTTTTGTCTTGGTTTTTCTAAGGGTCAGATGTTTGAGTTGCAATTATGATGACCTGTCCGTTTACGGTTCGAACCCAGGACCACTCATTGCGGATGAAACGGACGTCCGCTTCTCTACTGAAGTTGATTAGAACGTGACGCCAAAAATTTCCTACTTGTTATCCAGGTTTCTAAATGCGGAAATTCTACACATGCCCCGGAATCTTACTCACTCTATTCTTTCTTTACCCCCAGAATTGATTAAAGCAGAACACAGCGCCTACGAATCTCTGCGACGTGAAATGGATACGATGGTCAATGAGTTTCACTCGATCTAACTTACCCCTTTTGCTTGCCTGTCTGCATGCGTCCGTTATTCTAGGATTTTAGGCTACCTTCACAGGCTCGCATACCCCAGACCACGCCATTTACGCATCTGCATGTTGTCCGGCTTGTCTGCCTTGTCGCCTTCGTTTTTTCTGAGCGGATCATCTGCGTCTACGCATTTCCTCTCCGACAGTGCCAAGCACATGCAGTGTATGCTTGCTAACCCGTTTCATCTCGGTATGATTGATTGATGTCTTGTTTGTACCAGCAATCGAATAACCCCTGCCCGCATTTCCATTTTTGTGTTTTGTTTTGTTCATTATTTCTGATCGTTTCGCAATTTCCCCTGCCTCATAAAGAAGTTAACATGTTTTGAAGATGTTTGCAGTTTTTTCGGGACCAGTCGGATACCAGTGGCATATACGCAGCCCTACTTGTCATATGAACTTCTGAACACTGGTTGAATTTACTGGGAGAGGAACGGTTCCTAATTTTTCCTTGTAATTAGGTAACGCATGGACCGAATAAGCCAGCGTATTTTTAGCTGACATTATCCTGTGCGCATAAGGTCAGATCTTTACGACTTTGCACAGATTGGAAAATTCAGCAAGTGCGCGGTCCATGAAAGTGTGCGTGGGCGTTTCCACCGTTAACATGCAAATAAAGGTGGGTTGTTCGTTCGTATAGGTACTTTTTTATCTCTTCACTGATGTCAGGCTGTGAATCTGCTAAGGCGGATGATATATATCTATAACTTACAAGTCAAGGAGAGTCCATTATATATCCTAGTCAATCATTGTTACGGTGCCGAGTCGCACTGTCAAATTCTTGCTTTCACCTAAGCTTCCTATCGTATCAAGCACCGAACGGACCCAAACCGAGGGTTGGCAACTATTAAGGGAAAATAATACGGCTACATAAAGACCAAAGACTTATTTCGGTTGAGCTTTCAATATCCAACCGTATTTCTTCGAAATGTGGCAGTCTATGTTATCAAACGTAGAATCTGTTTTCAATGATCTCTTGCTCATTGTTACAAATGGAACTGGTCGGTCTCATCATCCAACTGAGGCAGCGGGTATTACACCCAGATCGTCGCCTACCCTAAGTCTTCAACTCTCAAGTCTGGTATTCCTCCTCTGTAGCCATCTACTTACTATCCATTTTGGAACGTCGGCAAATGGATTTGACTGTTGCTTGTCTGAATCCTACGTTCATGCCGCGTAATTGCACCCAGTTGAATCCTTGCATCTAACCACGCACTGACGACATCTTCAATCGTGGGTGACAAAGCATGCGCAAACCAATTGCCAAGGTCAGCGAGGAGGCCAACCGAGGAAAGCATCGAATTTACTAGTTGTATGACATTGCCGAAGTTGCACCTGTCTTGATTGGCTGAAATTGGTCCGGCATCAATGTGAGCTCTGATTAGTCAACACCTCGGGTCCAGCAGCTAGCCACACTCCAGTATCCGCTTGGCGCCAATTGTCGATAGCTTTTCGAGGATTTCAAGCTTTGCCACTGCTTACGCTCTTTATGCTTAAACGCCTTTTGACTTATTTGGATGTTCTTCATATCCCGGTATCTCTGGTTGAAACGCTAGTTTGGGTAATTAGGCCAATGCTTGAACTCAACAATGACCGTTATTTCAACCGCATATTTCGATTCCCCGGGATGGTCGGAGTTGACAGAAGTAATTTCATGTTGCTATTAAATAGGAAACTGCACTTTCCTTTCGTCAACGAATAGCACACCACTTCGGAAGGCAAGCAAACGTGTCATCCAGAAACTCATTAAGAAACTGATATATCGGTCGTATGAATAGGCTGCATTCGTATCCCACTTTGAAGTTTTCACGTCAGGTGCCTCAAACGATATATCTGTATATTCCGGTTTCGATTTTGCCAACCAAATTCGGATCAGGATGTCCAAATTTATCCGGTTATCGGGGGAGTTATGATGAAAAATACGAATAGCCCCGCTATTCTGTTACGAGTTGTATTTATTTCAACTTGACCACAGTACCATGTGAATGAAATGTAATACTGCGGTATCGAAGCGTTACAAGCGTGTTTTGTTTGTCACTTGCTGGCAGGAGAGTTTCTCGACTGCAGATTTCGGTGATCGATGCCTAGTGGATGTAGATTTTGTGTTATGGAGTAGAAATACGATATCCGGTTCTTTATGAAAATCTGGATCCAAAATTACTCATCGAATTTCCCACTCAATAAACTGGCAGTTAACAAATGGATTTGGTTCCAGTAGCCGATTTGTGGCTGTCGTAGTTCCCATGCTAGCCGAATCGTCTTATCTTCAGGTATGGGGATTTTGAAGCCTTAAGTCGGGATTCCATTCTGCAAGTCAGTTACCTAAGTGTTGAGAATCCCAGGTGCGTTGTACAGCTGCTGCACCCATGTTGATGTTCGTAACATGCACTCTCTAGAAAGCTCAAACCTGCGGGTTTTCATCACCCTCGTCCATGAGTTTTGACCAGTTACCAGCGGTATGGTAATTAGACAAAGCATAGGGCCTACAGAACGAGTACGCTGTTCAACATGGAGGCTGTCACAGCTCAAACGGACCTTCAGCTGAGAATTCGTCACCCGAAGGACCGGCTAACACTAGATCATGTGATGTGTTTTTAGTGAAAGTAGCGGAGCTGGCCTCTCTAATTATGACTTATTCACACTGCTAATCAGCGTTTCCCAGTTGAGTGACTGATCCGAACCGTGTTCAGAAGTTTGCGGGCCCAAATTTTTTTCCAGACTGATGGTGTGCACACTGGGTCGGGGTCGGGTTGGTAAGATCGTGGACTACTTTTTCGACTGCCTGGGTTAGAGCCCCACGTGCATCCCTTAGAATTGGGGCTGCAGCCCGCGTCCTGATCATCCATACACTTCGGCAGAGGTAAAGGCGTGGAATGAAATCTTTTGGCCTGTGCATAGATTGGCTTGAGAGATGCATCATTGATCGAAACTTAAAAATCTTTCCATTCTACAAGTATGTAAACTTCGTTGCTGCCAAGTGTCACTAAAAGATTGATTTACTGGTCGATACCATTGGTCACGGGGTTGTCTGTTTGATGAGTTTACCCGCGGTTTGAAAATCATTTCTTTAACATGTCAAATGGGAATGAAACTGATCGGACTGGAACTGAACGTTCCCTGCTAATGAAACATCCTCGCTCAGTAGAAAAGAAACTGCTGTCACCTTCCTCACCCAAGCAGCTAACTTTATACCCTGATGGAAGAATGTCGTCCACGTTTCCTGGAGTATCCTTTTTCTGTCTTTTGGAATTGATGCCTTTTTTGCTAAATTGAGCAGATTACGATGACATCCTTGCCTGGTTCAATCTACCAACCTGCAAATCAGCTTGGAACATTTTTGGCTGTTCAATTAGTTATCAGTGAAAGTGTTGTGGGCCACAGTCCCTTAATGCCTTCTTATTACCGTGAACCCCGGTCTGGATTGCCGCTTGATCGCCTGGTACGCTTGGCCAAACCAGAAAAAGTCAACAAACGTGCGAGCTAGCTGCTCTATTGATCACTGTCGCGTACAAGTGGTCAAAAGTAATACTAAGAATACAACTCATCTGTCAAAGGCGAGTGAAGAACAGCCAATGAAATCTATCTCAACGGGAAACGGTTATTCCACTGGCAGTTATATAGTCCCGTCACGTTCGAAGCTGGCAGCAATGTTCCAGCCAAAACCGCCCGCCTAAATACCAAGAAATGATCAATCGTAAAAAAAAGCAACTAAATTTGGAAGTGCCTTCAGAAATTCATTCGCCCGAATGTAGCCTTTGTCTAAATGATGGAGTTTCATGAAGGACGCGATCGAGTACCGAAAAATCCAGTTTTTCACCCTTATTGAAACTCATCAGACTAATCCATTATGCCAAGGGCGAGAGATCCTGCGTGAGTGAGCCGTTGCGGACCCAACGTTCCCTTTCCTAATAATATCTGTTTAGGGAGAATGTCCATGTGGCTGTTGAGAACCCTGTAACAATGGTTAGCCACTTAAACAAACGGGAATCTGTAGATGGGTAGTACGCTTCATAAAACTGCTGTTTCGACCAAAAAGTAATACCTATAGATAGTATACTTCAACAATAACAGTTAAAGATTGACATTCTATCATCTCTACTGCAAGGCATATTACAGAACTCATCGTAATTCTCGCTGATGCTAAGGACAGGTCCACACAGAGCTAGTTCAGCTAATCCCGAAATAGAGTCGCTGGCCACTTAGTCGTAATTTAAACCAGTATTAATAACACTCAAACTGATCTTCACCAACGCTATCTGTTTCTATGAGATGCCGAGTTATACAGCCAATTTCGGTGCTTTCGGGAGACATCCTTGCCTACGAGGTAGCTTTTTCGGCTTACTTGAGGAACTGTGGAATCAGATATGAATGTTATTCTGCTGACAAAGACCCAGCGGTCATCTAGTTAGCTTTTGATACTCAGTCATATCTGCATCACCCATTTCCCAGGTTGCACTACAAACGTTGTCGAACACCAGATTTCCTGGCTGAACTGACATGTAGCGGAATCGGTGAGTCTTGTTACAGCAGATGCTATTTCGCACACAACCACTGCTTTCCGGTTGCTCTTCTTCGGCGGTGCACACAGGCCTTCTGAATTGAGATTTTGTCGATATGGAATACTCTTGCGGGAACCATAGATTTCCTTCTGACTAGTTTCTCCCGATGTGTATTGGAGGAATTGAGCATCCAGCTCTTCTCGGAGATTGGCTTCACGTGCCCAGGACAGTTGCTCCTCGTCCATTGGTTACAATGTGCTCCACGAACTTACCTTTTAGTGAACAAATATGACTGAGCTCGGAAAAAAATCGGTTCGAATAGGGAGAAAGGCTACCTCCAGACACTGCATTCTCTGAGTATTTATGACTCAGAGTCCGGTGTACTTTCATTCAACTAATGAACAGCTTAAAATGGATGTACATAAATTGTTTCAGAGATAGTACAACTAGAAAATTTACTAAGGATCCAATCTGAAGACAACGGTTTCATTGGAAGTCTAGGAATTCACAGGCGGAGTAGTGACAGAAGTTACTCTGTTCATCTTGGAAAATCTGCTTTATTCTACTGACCATCTTTAACTCCATCTATAACCAACATCTATAACCAACAAAGACAGCAACGTCAGTGTTGGTACTGATGCTTCACTCCCGTAGTGTATGTCATGATTGTACGAGGGCTGGGATACTGCCATGGTGCCCACACCTAGACAGGAGGACGATTAGAGTCCTCAAACAAAGCCCTTGGCTCAAAAGCCTAACCGCAAGGCAGCGATGTTGGGCTGGAAATGCAAGTACATTACCATTTTTAAGGAACACGTTGCCATACATGTTCTAACCCCAACCTGGAGGACCAGGAGACTGTGTTCGTCAGACTTCTACCCATGGACCAACCTGGTATGAGAGGCTGAGTGTCGCGCGAACACCCCCCAGTATAGCTCAATGGTTCTCCGAGGTACACAAACCGCCACACCACGGTAAGGCCTAGTATCTTCGTGACGGTCAAAGGAGTCTGCGAAGTTCACGTTTAAATTTTATGTATACGTATCACCCTGATAGACAAGTCAATTTGGATCGAAACACCACAGGGAAAATAAATCATACAATTTGGCTTCCGGCAAGAACACATCGAAGCTACTAAAGAATGGGTGTGGAAGGAAGCAAACATGTTGTAAAATGACGTTGAGGAAACAGATGGAGAAAGCCTTGAAAGAGTTCAGCTGTGCTGGACTCAAGGACAAAGTGCCAGACAAGTAGCTGTGTCGGTTAATGAGGTGGGATAAAGTTGGGAGAATGTCAAAGGTAATTTCATCAATAATTTAAAAGGCCAACAGCATTAGGAGAATGGTGAATGAACATTTTGCAAGAAAGCATGTATAAGCAGCTGAGGTAATGTCTGACAGAGAGGAGAGTGGTGCTTTGAGAAACCAGGATCTAATAACCAGTAAGTTCTGCGAATGTTTGATCCAATTCCCCACTGAGGTCCTTGTAACGGATTTTCTCGGCCAACAGATCGTCTGAAGTGCAAAATATATATATCAGTTGCTCTCCTAGTGCTTTTCCAACAATAATACGATAATCGTCATCACTACATGCCTTACACAAACTCTGCTGTGCAATCTGGTCAAAAATGGGCCGAAGTAATTGAGGCAGATACTCAGCAATATACTCAGGCTTTTAAGATGAGTTACTGGTGAACCAGATTGATATTCGCCAATGAAACGAGTTACAAAAATAACGCCAGACAATGCATCGCTGTTTTCTGTTTCAGCCAACTGGGTACAAAAATTAATGACCAAAGTCAGTTCAATTTTCTACGTTGACGGTGTTCTTCAACTAAACGATCTACCACAACGCCGAAAACCAGCAAGTATACAGGTTCATGTGGCCGATCTCATTGTCGTATGAAGCGTCTACAAAGATCTCTCAAAGCATATGTAGCGCTCAACAGATCGATCGTTCAGCTGTATCACCCTTTGTTTGCCCAACTGCCATACCACCCGAAGGAAGCACGAGGGCTGGGATACTGCCAGGTTGCCCAAGCCTACACAGGGAAAGTCGAGAGGCAGAGGTCGGGTTCGAACTACAAACCTTTCGGTCACTAAGTTCGTGCTTGGTAAAGTAGTGTGAGGAGATTGATTCCGGGTTTGACGCTGCCTCACATTCGAATGCATGCAAACTGACAGTTGTAAAGTCCTGTTTGGACCTGATCGAAGCTCGATTCATTTGTTGTTGCCTGTGCCGAAACGATCCACACAGGCTATCGTGAGTTGCTCTTTTCGGTTCGTCGACCGGGTTTCTGTTTGACTACATTGTTCTCCGACCAACACATCTACTATAAATTTGCGTATGCACAACGGGGCCGTATGGTCTTAGCAGAATTACGCCTGAGTCCACCATACAATTGAGAAAAGGTAATCACAAGTTGACGACCTACCTTCAAGGTGATCAACTTCGTTCTGAAGTTTGGAGACTTGGCGTTCAGCTTCAGCAGCCCGCTGTTCAGCCTGCAAAGTGGATCAAAAATTTTACAGGTTACGGATTCCGAATCACAGTCATTGCTCGAGAATTTGTTGGGAATTATATCCCATTGAAACCTCGTCCTTTTAACAAGTTCAGAGGCACTCCTAGCGATAGCTATACGGGATTCAGCCACAAGGCGGTGACAACAAGAGACCTCTTACAGATCCCTTGTTTCTTCGAAACGTGGATGTCGAGTCTCACAATCAGATGCGTAACAGAGGGTCGGTTCAATAATAAGTGCTACTAACAAGCGACTTCCAGTAACATTCAAGTTGATTAAAGCTAGCTTCAGTTATTCTCTCGACGATGCGATTGCCTGAATCATTCCAAGTCAGACGAAAAAGGAAGATAAGCGAGCTATCAGCAGTCTGCCAATCGGCTCGTCAGAATACAGTGTAACGAGACATCTGTACAGATATGGGTCGCTCAAATAAGCCAAGAGTCATATTGATTAATTTCTGTCGTTCGTCGTTCATATGCCACAAATTAACTAGAAATGACCTTATGCATCCCCACTTTCTCCATATCAATAACAAATCAATTATATTTGGTGCACCCAAATCTATTTTCGATTCTCACGAAAGCGACGGGAATTACAATCGTGGGATCGATTGGATTCAAGCATTTTGCGCTGCAATCGGTTGATGCCCTCGATTCCAGAAATAAGTGCGGGACAACTTGGCCATTTGCGTGTGTCCAAATTCAAATGGCTTGGCCGGTATGTCAGCAGAAACCGGTCGATTAACTTCATCGCTTTATCTTTTGTACGCACATAGTCCAGTTGGTATGTGCACGACATGTATAACCTGTCGTTTGCCAATCAATACACGGGGCCATTCGATTTCACACAGTCATGCATTTGTGACCAACATGCATTCGAAAAAGCCTGACCGTGGTGTGTCATCATGAAACATTCTTTGCCGACTTGGTTGCCATGAGAACTTGGCTTAGTATGATGTACAAACTTACGGCTTTGAGGCGTTCTGTCAAATCTCGGATGGTTTCTTCATAGCTTTCCTCCCGTTGAGCGGACTGGAACGGAAGAAAAAATAAGGAAATTGGACACTTGTTGTCTGAGTTCCTATTCACCGAATTTTGAAAAACACATAAGCTTCTTTTAGAGCATAAGGTTTGTGTTATCCGCATCCATTTGAAACTCGGAAGTTAACACTACTTCGGATCAACACAGTCTGTTCCGCTGACTATTGTATCACGGCTCCCAGTCAGTTTTTACCCGTGAAAACCTCTGTCCGTAATGACTGGCCGGTCTATCGATCGGTGAGCAGTGACACCAAACAAGTGTCAAGGTCAGGCCACAGCCTGTCGATGACGAGGAGATTACAGATTTCTACAGTCCAAACAGTGAAATCTCGGGCAAATCTAGGGATTAATGATAAACCTTTAATAGAAGGGAGAAGCGCCGCCACTAGAATAACGAAAGACAACAAAAAGTAGAATTGTGTTGACCGATGAATTCACCATTCGCGTTTTTAAACACTATCACTCAGTCATAATTAGTTAATCTGCAAATAAAAGGGTATGATTCGACACACATTATGGGCATTTGTAGTAGTCTTTGTAATGCGACCTTTGCACAGTCAGTGTCACTTTACCTCTTGTTCGGAAATCTCAAGAGCCTTCATGTTGTTACCCACAACTCGAAGTTCCTCTTCAAGTTCCACAATTTTGCTGGAAGGAAAAAACGAGGGTAAGACGATTCAAATGGAATGCAAAAAAAACTGGCTTTCAACTGAAACGTGATCTGACTGCATGCTTGGGTTGAATGGGTCATGCTTCATTCGGAATCGATCTACCTCATTCCCCATTTCAATGACATGACAGTCAATCATATTGATTTGGCATGCACGAGCTTCTACGGATGTTGTTCATCCCAGCGCAGTTACTATTTATTGTTAAGATGCTGTACCTTGGATTATTATAGGAGTTAATGTGGATATTAGCCAGGAAGCCTTCGAATCCGTCAGTCATTGCGATGCGCCTCAACGCCTTAAAACATGACCTTGTGTTACACAAAAGTACGTTCGCAAATTAGCAACCTACCACGGTAGGTTCACCGTAATTACTCGCGCCGGTGCGTGCCTATCGACTTCTAACTTTTCAGATCACCGGCGACTTAAACTGTGGCAGTTACAGCCAGTGTAACATGGTTCACAGATGTTGATGAAATTAGTGGTGATGATGAGATCTAATTTATGGCTGGATTTTGAAAAGCTCAGGTACACGAGCACTTTTGTCATCAGACATACGCAGGGAGATTGGAAACACACGGGTTATGTCCCTCGAAGAATTCCCCGGGTGGATACACTTAACTTAGACGTACTGTGTGATGTTGAAGCCATGGACGAGGATGAACTTGCCAAATATATCTGTAGCCTAATCGATCCTCCTCATTACTGTTGAAGCGTGATCACCGTTCAGGTATTATCAGCCTATGCAGAACATGGGTATAGGACTATTATTTACGTTCAACCCAGATAACCGTACACCTAATTGAAATCTGTCAGAATGCTAATCCTTCCGGTTTGTAAACGTAAAGATAAACTGCTTCCTTTAGACAAGCGTCAACTTTACCTCCATACAGCAGCCAGGACACTGGTCGTACGTATAATTCACAATTAACTGCATGCGCTCCACCTTGATGACGGTATTTGAATTCTACTCAGCTATTCATTAGAAAGCAATGCACAGGTATTGTGACGGCAATGAGGCTAGAGCTTGATTTACACGACACATCCTTCCACTGCTCGTTAAAATCGCACGTACATATTCTGCTAGGTTGAATGTTCATGCGGGCCACTATCTGCCTCCATGCCCTACCTGACCAACTCATTGAAATCCTGCTTCGTGGCCGTCAACGTGTACTTTGAAGTTACGACCCTGATTCACACCAAAGCATATCCAACGCACATCTCAATCGATCGTCTTGGCCCGATTTTTTATTACTAACCGTTTGACTTTAGCTCCCGAGGCCATACGACTCCCAGCCAGTATCCTAATAGATTGTAAAGTGAAGCAGAATTCGGTTCTCTAGGAACAAAACGAACTTAGATCCGCTACATGTAAAAACGACTAGCTCCACTGTTGATCTGATGTGATGGAGTTTGAGTGTTCTGACTGCATGTACGTCATCTCGAATCCAGCCCCTCCTGTGTTTTCAACTCTCAGGTCGTCTCTTACGCTCTCCTTTTTTGAAACCTATGTATCTTAATATCTTCAATTATGTTGGACTCTCATACATGCAGGTTTCCCTGGTTCTTAAATGATGCTAGTCTATCGTATCAGGTTTTGTGATCTACGTCACGTCGGTTGCCGCTGAGTTCAATTTTCCGTAAGTCCATGGATTCGCACATTTAGGTAGCGTTTCACGAAGACTGGTTGAAATGGATGAATCCTTGCCAATCAGTACGATCAGCCATCGAACCTACGTGGAGCTCTGAAATGACCAAACTCAGTTTGTACTGCTACTTGAAGGACCAAAGATTACGGCACTGCCACGTTGGATACCCAAATTGCTGAGTTGATGTTTTGCAATGATGTGACTTCAAGTGAAAAGGTACAGTTATAGTAGCGTACTGAGGCTTGGAAGATCGATCGAAATGCACGTCTGACTCACCTTGGACCGTCATTTAAAAGTATGCAGTACTTGGCGTAAGCACATATGGGAGGTGACAGCGGCTTCAGTCCGCTCACCAGTGTCCTACTCACCTCTATGCGCGATCCCGCGTTTGGTGGTCCATGCGTATTTTTTGGCAAACAGCGCAGTTGAGCGAAAACGAATCAATCGGGTTTGTCATTTGTTTTCATGTGTCTTCCGTTAAGGATATACATGACATGGACACACCCGCATGCGATGCTGTAAAACGTCATGGAGTAAATCTGCTCAAAACACAGCAGTCTACATGCGCCTGGTAACAATAGTCACCGTGGACATGCATGATGCCTCCACCTTATCTGGCACGTGGCAGATGTACCTTTCAGCAGCTTCTAGACGAGACTCAGCTCGTTCGAAATCAACCTCGACGATAGCCAGTTTACGTGCAGCCTGAAATCCAGGATAATGACATACAGGAAATTGACCAACAGATGCATAGTTTTGACACAATCAACAAAGCGCCCACACACACAATAGTTTTGACACAATCAACAAAGCGCCCCCCCCACACACACACACACACATTCACTACCTGGATGAATAATTTGAGTTTTAGGGGAGATGGACCGAGACACACCATAAATGAACCAACAGCACAATTTAGCATACTAGGCTGTCTACTGACGGGTGATCATTAGTCCTCTATGAAACTTCGATACGGACTAATTGACTTTTTCACCTATTTGAAATCACTACGGTCGAGAAAAAAGAATCTCTCAAAGCGGGCACTATCCAGACTTGAAAAAATATGTATCCTATAAGGTTTTATTATTATGGCCAGCCTCCATGGTAAAACTGCTATCACAAATACTCATTCAAGGATTTACCAAGGAAGGCTATTGTGTGAACCAAGTGAGCGTCATTTCAATTGATTTTACTCTTGGTTACTCACGAGTAGCTGAGTTGGTTTGTTAGTATTTCTTGTCGACTGGATTCATATGTTGTAGACGCTGTCGTCAGCAATTGATGTACGATTCGTGTCACAGTGTTTGGGTTTCACTTGCAGTGCTATCCCTCACATTCACGTCACGGTTCGACTCTCAACAGTGTATCCTCAGACAAGTACACCCGAACCAGGCGACTGATCCCCCTTGATCGGTCATTGGTCCGCCGGAGATGAACTTAGTCAGGACTACAGCCATGCAGTTTATTTCAAACTTATTCTTGAAACCAGCAGAGCGTTGTGGCCGTTGCAACCCCTAAATTTACTAACCTGTGAATTCTTGCTCGAATGCTGTTTTTCAGTTAGATAACCGAATATACAAGATAAGGAGGATAGTTTGTGCCTTTGATGCTGCTTGGGGCAACCGTCATGAAAGCCTGCGAAACTATAGTTTCACCGATGAACTATACATTCTTTGGAGGAGTAGCTCTCAACCGGGGATGGGGGAACCCCTTTTCCCTCTTTGGGGAGGACAATAAAGGTTCAAGGTTGCATGGAGTCCTAAGTTTCTGAAGACGTCAACTGCTCAAGTATTCTTTGTTGGTCTAATAGATTTGTTTCAGCTGTCTATCAGTTACCCATCTTCACTCGTTAACAGTGTAAGCTGTGCAGTCAGAGTAAAGCGCGTTCCAATCTGTATAGAGCTGGCCGACAGAATTCTACATGGGTAGCAAAACTATCCTCTTTCAATTTGTAACAGTCGTCCTATCTGTTATGTCGTTTCACTCGCTTCAGGGTTTTCCAGCACACCTGGATCCAGCAACCAGATCTCTTGCTTACAAGATTTTTCAACCGAAAGTTGGGCACAGAGGTTGTTTCACGTTTCAGTTGGCACAACATTCAAGCTATCAAAGTAGTTCTGTTGATACTTACAGGAGAGATGGAGATTAATGAGGCAATCAATTAACGACGCATAATCAGTAACGCATACGTAAAAAGGCCACGAGGGAATCTGACCGGTATATCCATTAAATCTCATTCTGGCCAATTCCTGTTCAACGCCACGTCGCGCACGGTGCAGAATATGTCCATCAAAAGCAGGATGATGGCATCCCACATTTGGCTACACTCACCTCATCGTATTTTCGATCGGCATCCTCAGCAATATACTTTGCTTCCTTCTGTTGATCTTCAAGCTGACTAAGACGTTCGTCGTCAGCAATGGACCGAATTTCAAGTTCTTTTCGACCTCTGAATAAATGAACACCAAACAGCAGTTAGGAAGCACGAGCCCGTATCTGTTCGTAAAGTGATTGCCTGCATAAAGGTTAGACGAGTAATGGCTGTGTCAAAGATGGGTCTGTATAGTCCGCCCTTGTTCACGACACAGATGTGTCTAATAAGAAGCAATCTGAGGTTGAATTAGTGTGTAGCAAACGGAAAACCCGAATTTTTTAAATCCTCTAGGAGGTTGTACGAAAATAAGCTAGCAGAATAGCTACATAAGGTCTCAAGGATTTCGACCAAATAATGGGTCATTGATGGAAAAAAAGTACTCATGTTTTTAAGGTTTCAGTCAGTCTTGTCATCAGATGCTATTTGATAACTCTCCCCCCGAAGAAAGAGCGACACAAAAAAGGAGACTACCCCCGAAGAGGATGTTATGCCCTCGCCAGGTGATCAGCTCTTTTCTGAGATGCACCTCTCTGAAGGTGGCCACAAATGATGTTGTCAGAACATTGATGTTATGCAGTCTACGATGATGGCGTTGTCAGGACTAGCAAGATATGTGCTATTCCCTAATCTACTAAGTTCAAACTCTAGAAACGCTAATACTAAGTAGCGTAGCTTGGATAGATAGAGAGTCAGTCGCCAAGGACAACTGACATTTCCAAACATTTTTTTTACTTTTCCTTGGACCTATCTGCAAAATTCCGGTGGGAACTTGGTACTTCTCGTTAGACACACCAAAATGCCGAAAAACCATCACCAAACGACACTGTATGTTAATTTTTGTTTTCGTTTTGCTTGGTTTAACCAGTTACTCATTCTGATTTTCCTACTAATAAGTATAACTCTGGTGCTTGATCAGATGGCAGTTGATCTGTTCGCCGAGCTTGGAGATTGGCTTGCAAACGTTTCGTCCCCAGTTGAGGAGATATCGTCTGTGCGCAACCGAGTGGATGCTTCCCCCGTACCTAGCTGTATTTATGTAGTTTTTGAAGATTGTCTTATATCCTGTCATGTGATTGGCTAGCTGGTGTATACCTTCTGTTGAATTATTATATATACGTATATATAAGGTGTATGTATGTACAAGTATAACTCATTGATGGTTTGCTGTCATGTTGTATGTAAAAGAGGACATCTCTCCATTCTGGCAGTGTTTCAAGTGCAGCAACCGGTCTGTCGCATAACATTCAAAGTGCCATTGTGTTGCCCGTATGGGACAAGAATTCGCTGACTAGGATCAAATGTTGACCTATGGGAGATTGAAAAGGAATGGAACCAAGAATGTAATTTATAGCATTTGATCGGTTGATCCTGATTTCTTCAATAAAATGAAATGGACACCTATGCACTACTTTGAATAAGTTTACGGGTACACCACAGCTACGCAGGTCTCACAATTTGAGTACTAGAGTGTGTTGCTTACAGTGAATGCTACAAACGAATATCATGTGATGTATGAAAAGAGATGGCTAGACAGCCATACTCAAAGGGAATTGACTGGAGCATGAATTACGTCACTTAAGACTGAATGTGGCGGTATGGCCCTCAGTGAAGAAAATTAGGTCCTTTCTGAATGTGTTGGAAGGATTCTTGAGAGGAGGCGAGGCTGCAATGCTACAATGCTTGCAATCATCGTTCAATGGTGATTTATTGGGAATGTATGGGTGGAAGAACTCAACTCAACTTGACCAGTCTACCAGAGAGCTAGAACTTGCACTTTTACGGTGATGATTGAGTGACGTCCTCCTTTGAATTTAGGAGCTCCACAGGGTTTCGTGATCATTTGACCAGATCGTGACTCCTGTACTGGCGCGCATAGAGTTTTAGCAGTTCTATGGGAAATAGGGATTGCCGGCGGTAAAGATTCTTTTTCGGATGTCTGTCTACTAAATTCCGTGATTCTTTAGGAACGTCGGCACTTCGAACTAAAATTCTTGCCAAAAATTCATTTGTTTTGGTTACAAATGATGAAATGTTTCAATGGTTGAGTGGTCCTGTCATCAAACTAACGTGATCCTGACGGTATCTGGAACCCATCCAGTAGATCGTCTGGAACGACTTAGTTTAGCTGAGTCTAAATATAAAATCGAGAATGTAGGCAATATGACAACAAGCTCAGCCATCCTAGGTGCTAGTGTGCACTTAAAATTGACAAAAATCAGAGTGGCTGTGACCAAGTTCCCCTTACACAGGGTGCCCGTATGTCCAAGCTCGGTCTGTATCTTGAGTTTGGTTGCAGGGATAATTCACAGGCACAGATAGAACGATCGGCCGATGCATCTGTTATATCTGTTCCATTATACGTTTTTCACTGAATGATATAGTCTCAAGTATCTACGTGATCACAGACGTTCCCAAGTCAAACTTAAGGCGATATTTTCTTGAAGGAACACTATTCATGGGATTGCCGAAAAAACTGAGTAGTTTTCCTTCAAGCAAATATACTCCACCTCGAATATCGTACCAACTAAAACATAAGACGGCTGGCTCTTCTGCAGCACATTTGGTTGAAGAACAACATCGCAAACAACAGATTCTGCAAAGATTCATCTGAGTTTACCGGTTTAAACCAAATTCGTGTGCAAATGAGCGCATTTCGTGAACTAAGAAGAAGTACTCTTGATGTTTCCGTGAAGATGACGAGTGTTATTGCATTGAGCTCTATGGCCACCTTGCTCGTGTAGTTGGTTGGAACAACCAGTTTTAGAAAATCCCAGGTTACTTGATTCATTGCTAGCTTCAAGTAAGGAGAACTTCAACGGTAGGCATCATGGTGAACAATCCACTTACCGTTCACTTTCCTCTGCGGTCTTACTAGCTTCGTCCAACTTCGCCAAGGTTTCTGTCAGACGGCTTGAAGAGACTTCTAAATCTTCCTCGAGCAACCGAATTCGTCGAGTCATTGCAGCAACCTCAGCTTCAGCCTGGAAAAGATCATCAGGGCGTTGGAATGGTAATGTATTGAAATATTGGTAGATTGGGTGAGTTTACTGGTTGTTGATCAGGTTGCTGTTGCTCCGTTCGCCGAGCTTGGTAATTGGGTTTCAAACGTTTCGTCACCACACGAGGAGACATCATCAGTTCGCAGTTGGATGGGTATGGTGACGAAACTTTTGCTAGCCAATTGCCAAGCTCGGCGAACAGATCAACAGCCACCTAATCAACAACCAAGGGCGTTAGAATCCTACCACGAATACACATCCACAGACATATCTGTATAAAATTACATGCACACTGTGTCGACTAAGTGAATATTTTGCATACTGACCAAGTGGGGCGTGCTTCCTCACCTTGGCCTCGATGAAAAGAAAGGTCGTCGGTAAAGTGTAAAATCGATTCCAATTCCGTTTCTAAAACCCTCCCTATATGTTGTCATTTGGCTCCAGTTCAAGCAATGTTCTTATTCCAACCGCGTTTATTTTCAAAAGCTGACTCAAAACAAACACATTACTCCAAAACGTGAGAAGGGGGAGCACTGCGAAAATTTCTAACGGAAAACTTGGACAAGTAGTTTATCAACACCCTGGAAATGAACCAGAAGTCGGATTCGGTCAAAGGAAAGCTCCTTGCCAGCCTTGACACTAGGCGCGGGTTCAATATAACGAGTTTCAAAGAACCAGCTAAAGCTAGCGAATGAAGATAAATGCATGAGCGACACCCATCGCAGCCTCCCTAATCTGAAAAACGTGAGAGCGGATGACTGTATGGTATTTCTGATTGGGGGGGGTGGTGATAGCAGCTATAAACTATCTACTAGCGCCACCTCTAAAAGCATCCGCATATGAAGCGTGTTCACACCTCGGATACCGTTTGTGCATCGTGAGTTATGAACGCAAAAGTAAACACCCGACTTTTTGAAACATTGAACTTGAAAGTTGAGGTAGCTGAATACATGGTTCGAAAAAAAATTAAAAAAGTCAACAAGAAGGAGCTACTTAAATTTGGAATTATAGTTGGAGAAAATAACTTTGAAGAAAGCTTGTCTAATGGTAAACGCTACAAACGGATTGTCAGACGCTCACTGTGTTTCATTTCCAACAATCTCATATCTCTCCAAGCCATACCCGTATCCCTCTATTACGTTTTTAAGAGAGAAGGACTCTAATCGAGCAGACCGGACGTGGTTGTGTTTCGGAGAGAAGGAAAACTTACATGGTTTAGTGGACATGCTTGCTAAGAAAACTTAAAATAGTCGTCCAAATTAATCTTTAGCAACAAAAGGTTCCTGTCTGGTAGGTGATATTCCCGTTTCTGTTGTTTGTGTAAAAGTAGATTACCCTTCCAAGAGAGGCACCTCAAAAACACCTCACTCTTCTAAAGAATCCGAAATAAATATTCCTCACCAGCTACAGCCCAAGAAGGGATGCTGAGCATAGAGGCAAACACCAACTCTTCCTGGGTAAGGGGTGACTACTGGAAATTTGCTGAAAGGTTTATAACTAAAACAGTACCGGGACAGCCCCTCCCCTCATGAAGCTGCCATCTGCGGCAAGAACCAGCGCCACCCAGTAACCCATCACGTTAGAGGTCTTAAGACGCTAACAGCACCGAAGTATCACAAATCAGTCCTTGGCTTTCAAAAACTCAATTATTGATTACACTTCGAGGCGAGGGTACTTACGTGAGGCTGATAAAACCAAGCTACAGTAGTACAACGGACTGCGCTTTCTGGATCGCAATAATGCTAGCAGCACGGAGTGCATCAGTTGTAGAAAGAAGGAAGCACAGGTTACTCTTTACTATGAACCTGATGGTGAGGTTTTAAACAAAATTGCTAACCTCGCTTACTTGTAGTATGTCCATACATGCTCACAAAATGCCAGATAAAATACAATCTTATACTGCGTCAAGTGTATTCTAACGCCTCGGAACGGGCTTGAATCTAACTCGTCTTCCGAGGAACACCAGTTAAGTTGAAAAGTCAAAGGCAAAGATGTAGGGTTTGAGTTATGCCGGCATTCAAGCAGCGAAACTCGAGTCTATTGCTTTGTCTGTGAACTAACCAAGGTCAGTGTCGAGACAGGATGGGGGCTGTTTACAAGAGAAATGAGGAGGAAAGTCGCCAGAGTTCACACCAAGAGGCTGTGCGGATGTGCGGGTGGTCAGCATTGAGTGTATCCACTTTGCATGAGAAGCTTGCGTCAAGGTGCAACACTAGCAATGTGAGCCCTTCTATAGTTATCAGCGGTTGATTTTCCTAAATTTTTGACTACTTACGAGTAACATGATTTCATACCGTTTATCAACTGATTTGCCGATGTGGTCGGTCGTCAGCAGTGTCCACTCCCCTCGTACGTCCGTTCATGATGCTCGATACCCGTAATCCGATAGCTTCAAAAGTCCCGAACGTTTTTAAACCTCCTGGATCTCATGGTTACTGCTCGTACTAACTGATACAGGTTCAGTCTCCATCCGAACACCTGCTAAGATTAGTCCGAGTCCCTAAAAGGAGTCCTTTCTAATGTTGAACGCCACATGCGTAAAAGGCATCTTCATCACTTTCGAATCCCACAAGCCAGAATCTCAGTTTGTCAGAAAATTAGAAGAAGCAAGAAGTTTAAGAGGCAGGCTGAGCAAGTATACTTGGTAGGCTAACGCACTCCAGCATACAGCGCAAGACCATAGTGCTGTAAGTAGTTTTATTCACGACTTCAACAAAACATCCGATATTCGTTACAGTGGACTTACAAACCTACTGGGAAATCTACCTCCCAGAGTAAATCACGAATACGTGTTGCTTAGAGACAACACTCGAATTTCCGTTGACGCTCAATGTGACTATCTTTTGAAGGGCGGGTATGATACAAGCTTTGCGTATTCTGTGAGCAATTCTTTTTTATTTCCACTGAGTTCCAAAAATTGATGGTATACACTAATTGTGTGGCCTGCTTACTGACTGAAAATGGATTCTTACGGGGAAGCCATATTTAAATGATTAAGCGAAGAAGTTGTGTGAGTGATATGGGAAACAAAGGATAGCCTAACTCAGCCACAGCAGGAACCGGAATAGACAAGACTGGCCAGATCAGAGAGGATGGGCTCTAATGTATCAACATTTGTAATGATCGCATACATCGAAGTTCCTGTCGGTTCTATAAGGTTTACTGAAGTTAGCGCAATCAAAAGCGTCACGAAATCCAAATGTGTCCTATTTTGATTACGTTTCAGTAGTAAAAGCCCAAGGCAGGAGCCATAAACAAGGTGTGGCTTTTTTGAAATGTTTAAGTATTGGTGAGAAGAGACCTGCACGTTCACGGACCAAAGTCGTTTGAAATTGAGCCTTTTATGAACCGGTTTTGGTTTCACTTGTTCACGAGAACTCTGCTATACATACGTATAATCGCTTTGGGATGTTGTCAAGGAAATGTCTCTTGTGTTAAGAAAAACTTTAAGCCAACATGCTAGAATGTTACATCGTTTAGCAAAGCCGTCAGACCGCAACTCCAGATGCACTGGTGTCGCCACGGGTGAAAGTTAAGTAGTTGATTGGGGAAGTGGAAAGAGTTGGGGCGGTCGAAATTCAGTATTTAGTTAAGACAACAAGAAGAATAGTTTCGAGGAGATCACAACCACGTAAAAGAGAATATACACTAGATCACACGGTTAGTCCGACTGATGAGGCTTATCAAAGGGATTGGCGAAGAGAAAAAGCGAAGAGGAGGAATAAATGAGTAATCTTGTGGCAAACAGCAAGAATGCTGTTACAGCGGAGGTCGTGATCCGTGGTATATATAGCGTTTCTGTTCTCCCGGATGGATGAGAAATTGATTGTCAGTCGAGCAGGCAAAAAATACGTCTTAATGAATCTTGGGCGTAAGAATAGACAGACGTTCTCTGGGTATGTTCCGGTGACTCCACTTTTCGGCCTAAAGAGCTCTTGACTTTGTGGGTCTGTTTTCAACTCCCAAGTATTGCCGGATTGTTCGAATGCAAGAACAGCGCAAACCATCATATAGACAGATGCCAAGTCAAGTGTTTCAGCCAATTTTTTCTTGTTGAGAATCACCAGGTTTATCTATGGACTTCAAAAATTGGCGATTCAATTCTATCCCCATTATTCTCATGTGCAATATACTACAGGAACAACACGGGTGTTATTACAAATAACGATTAGATAGAAATCACAAAACCATGACAACACACGAGGTCCAGCACAAATTTTCGGTGTATCACGCACACTGCTTCGTGCCTAAATAAACTCAATGCGCTTTTGAGCGTCACCGCTCCACGAGCACTTTGAACGGTGGGGTATTCCTAATGTGAATTCCCGTCGTATTTAGTTTTTCATGCTGTGTGAGCTTAGAACTCACTTTTCAAAAGGTAACAAATTTCCTATGATTATCTACTTAATTATTAGTAATGTCATACCAAGGAAAGTGTCTGTATGCTCAGTGCGTGCACCATTGCACACCCCGTAGCACAAGCCCTTGACCATACCACAATAACGCTAGGAAGTAATTGAGGCCTCAGGCGAACTGTGGTATACGTGGCAGGAACGCTTCGCATTAGGGAGAATGGTTATTATCTTCCCTTGGAACGAGATCACTTTCGTAGACTAGAAAATCAACCTTGGGACCAACAGGTCCCCGCGTTCTCCTCCACTCTATCTCTGCCACATATCAAGGATGTTATTCTTCAGGTGTCCACCTGGCTGTACGCACTCACTGATGATTTCAATGTATATCACTCAAAAGCCTATTTACCCGAACACTTTGCTGACCCTCGGAAAATGAGTGACTGTGGAAAGGCTGGACTCTAAATTCTCATATACTGTTAAGCCAACACTGTGGTGTTCAAGCCTTCCAACTCTCTTCATGTTGCCTGTATCCCTTGAAACACCCAGTTTTCGTTAGTTGGGTTATGCTCCCGGATCTCCTACCTATAGTATCCTAGGCTTAATCCCCTTCGACGTCCCTTGGTTCATTTATTTTAAACTGATTGCTACTAATTAATTTACCAAGTTGCCGTGCTCTCAAGTATTTCACTGCACAGCCGCGTGTCGCCTATAAACTTTAGTTAGATCTGAAACGGTGCGCCCTCCGTTTGTCTTTCAATCTTGGACCATAATCAAAGAATGTACATTCTTCTCGTCTAAACTCAGTTTCATACTGGCAACCTTTGTAATCGAGATCATGCCCCCTTCTCCCTCCGAGCTAGTATCATGTGTTCTCTTCCAGAAACATCGAATCGTTCCATAAACATAGATGGATCTGGTCGTTGGCTTGTTCGCTGAGCTGGGCAATTTGGTTGCAAACGTTTCATCACCAATCGAGGTGACATCATTAGTGCGTAGTTGTGCGTAGCGCTACGCACAACTACGCACTAATGATGTCACTTCGATTGGTGATGAAACGTTTGCAACCAAATTGCCCAGCTCAGCGAACAAGCCAACGACCATCTACGCCACCTGAGCTACCGACATTCTCCTCTATAGAAAATAGATGGATCTACTAACCCAATTCTCCCCTGATCCGATCTTTTTACGTCTGTTTCTTTCCTCTTCTCCTTGAGCAAATGGATAGGCTTTGCAGCTCCCGCCTTCCATGACTCTCAA